AGCGCAGGATGACCGTGAAAGAGGTTTGACACGCGTTCAATGACCCCGGGCGTGTCGATGCTGCGGAAACGAGGATGTAAGGACCAAGTTCATCGAGACGGGACACAAGGAAGAGCAATGAAGTAGCGACTCGAGTCCGCGCCCAGTAATGAGACTGTACCGTGCAACGCAGCGTCTCTTCGATTGCCACCGTTTGGATGCGATGTACCAGTAAAGAACGACTCACTATTGACTCTTGAAATCCTTCATGATATCCAGGAACTTGTTGTAGACCTCCGGCTGCTCCGAGAACTGCGCCTTGACAGAGTCGAGGTAGCTGAGCGCGTCGCTCACGTTTAGTGGCCTGTCGGAGCTTGCTGATTGCTCGGGAGAGCCTGCGGACAGCGGCCCGGGGTCCATGCTGCCATGAGGATCGTGGGGGTTGTCCAGTACGTGGTCGAGGTCGGTCGACACGGGAGGTAGCGGAACGCGGGGTGTAGCCGGCCGACTACGCGTCAGGGGGGTGCCACGGTGGCCTCTGCCGTCCGACAGCAAGGTGTTGTCCTTCTCCATCGCTAGTGACGGAACGCGAGTTGGGAGAGAACTCTGTGGTCGGATTATTTGGTGACAATTGAGAGCACGGAAGGCAACTAAATATACCTGTGTTGAATTCCCCAATCTCTCGCGAGTCAAAGGAGCCGGTGGGTGGGGAGGAGATGGGTACACGATGGGAGTAGTTGAGCGAAGACGTCGCGGTGGCTGCATCAGCAAAAGGTGTTTTTAACGGTAGCGCCCGATAGCACGCGACACTGCCATATCGGGACAGGTCGTCTATTGTCTGCGCGACAAATGATGGTAGCAGAACGGTAGCAGCTGATATTCATTCATCTTTACTATGAGGTTCGATCAAATCTTGTGGCCGCAGACAGGATATGATGGATCTACTACAGGCACAAGTAGCTTGAACAGAAAGCTGTAGTCGATGATAGTAGACGATCATGCGCTCCTTCAAGGGTGAATCACGGGGCGCGCGAGGTGCACAAGAGGTTTGTATTAGCTATACGGTCGGCTCGTAAGGACGCGAACACTGCGCGCGGCGGAGAACGCGATGCGCGCGAGGATATGCGGACGGACGTCAGCGCGGGCGCCTGTTCCTCTTACGCGCCGCGCGCGGAGGCCTCTGTCCAGCATCGACGGCGAGCCCATCCTCTGCTCCCCCAATATTTCCTGACGCCTTTCCTCCCTTTCGTTGATCTCTGGCTCCTCTTTTTGATACGCGAATGCTCTTCTTCATCAGAATGTCTGCTTCTTTGGGATACGCGATCCGAACGCGGAACATCGAGTCGCCGGCGGCGGGCGCCGTGAAGTTCTTGCTCACTTGAGCATTGTCTCGGCCTTTCACATTCCGTCTGGGATCATTTCCGTTTACCAATGTGCATAAGGTGTGCTTCTATGGCTTGTTCTCCATTAGGTGCGCACTTCATAAGCTGAAGCGACCCAGTCCCCAAACAGCGGGGCGGGCAGCCTCAAGTGTTCATCGCACAGAGAACGAATTCCTCACCCTCACGGTGGCGCAATATGTGCGGGAGAAAAACTGGGACACTCCCCTGGAGGACCTCGACCTTCCGCACGACACTTACATGCGAGCGCGAGCTCGTGAACTGGAGCAAGGCCTACTCCGTGGACCACCGCTACGAGAGTCAGCGGAGCGCTCTGTTCGATGCTCTCGTTGTCACGAGCTGCGCGGCAAACTCCCGCACAGGGCACTGGGCGAGGGATCGAGAGTTAAGTCAAGATATATACATCGCTGGGGCCCGAGACGTACAGAGGTCCGTGTTAGTAGTGACATTCTGAGGTCTAAAAGTTGCTTACGGTGATTTCTTTGCTAATTGTTGTGACCCGATGCGGCAGCACCGCAGTGGCGTCCCGCTTTGGCCTCTCTATTGTTTCCAGACACGGGCGCGTGTGCTGGGTTGCGCGCCTACTGGGCTTTATCCGCGACCACCATCATCCCCCAAGCGCAATGTGCCACTCACACTCGCGCGCGATGTATCAAGACACGGTCAGTTCTTCCTCATTCATCAGCATCTCACTCACGTACACACTTCTGTCAACATCGACATCGACATGGCTTTTGACACCGCACTCACACCGGCGAAAACCCGCGCCCTCAAGACTGCGGGTACAAAGGTACGCTTGAGTACTCATGTTGCTTACGGCCACGGGTCAGTCACATGTGAGGCCTGATTCCTTAGCCTCGCCGACAGTTTCGACGCGGCGCCGCGCGCTCCCACACGAGCCAGCGACCCAACACTGACCATTCGCTTGCCATTGGGGATTCAAGGCGATGTGGAGGTGATGCGGCAGCCACCGGCTCCGTGGGAGCACGGTGTACAGGTATGTCTTCAGAACGTCCGAGCGCGGCAGGCGAGCAGGATATCACGGTGCACCGCATGGTCGAGCCCACGCATCCTGAGCTCCTGCTGCTAGATCTGCGCGCGACCGCTTCCGGTAGGCGTTGCTGAACGCGCGCGACGCGTCCACCCCGAGCAGCCGCCCGTTCTGCAGAGGCAGCGGCTCACTGGTTTGTGTCCCTCTTCCTTCTATACCGAGATCGATTCTGCAGCCGCTCATTCCGCCAAGTTCACAGCGGCCTCGACCGACGAGTCACAGTACTCGCACTTCACCTGGGCGATTGCCCCGCGCAAGCAGCGGTCTCGAGTCGGCCCACATGTCCGTCTCCCACCACTACTGTGTCCTCATCGAGGACGAGGGGATCGCCCTCTGTGGGCTCCTCATTATCGACCCTATAGGGTACCCTCAGGTACGTCCTTGGTGGAGCAGCATACGTCTGGGAATCACGGCTGATTGTGCGTTCGGTGGAGCTGGACAAGCAAATTACGATCAACGACCTCCCCGTGGGCCGCTCTGTCGAGGGGACGATCCGGGCATTCCAGTTCTCCCGGGTGCGTCTCTCTTCCTCCGCGTTCCCTGTGGCCGCTCCCACTGACTTCTCCCGCCTCCCTCCCCCTTCCCCGACCCGACGATCCACGCTCAAGGCGACCACCTCTCCACGCCCAACCAATTCACCCTTTCGCGCCCATGGCGCCCCTCCATGCCCAACCTGTCTATCTTGCCGCGCTCAACCGAGCTTTCCGCGCTCTCCACCCCAGATACGAAATTTCTACATTACTGACCACTCCGATAGTACTCACGATAGGGAACACTCCCTCAATTCGGGGAGACGTGCTGGTCGAGAGGCTTCAAGCTCAGCCACATCGCCGACCATGTAAGTTCTTTGTTCCGCTCATGTGTCCGTTGCGTAGAATACCGGCTGTTTCGTATTTACCCCGAATGGATTATTGTGCGATTGGAATTATGGGTGCGCCCCAGTGTGCGACGGAAGGCGATAGTGTTCCGCAGTTATCTGTCATCTCCTCCGCCAACTCTGACCTCTTATCGTGTACCGCTATTATCTGATGCGCCGCAGATGACCGGTATATGGTCGCGCGCGCACCCAGAACTGATAGCACTGTCCGCGAGATACGATCATCATTTGATAGTGGAAGAAGCAGACGATAGTACACTACGAGTTACTGCATTACTTGGATGCTCAGCTACTGTCTATTGTCTTCGCTATCACTAACTATCGTACGCTACGAATGCCCCCGTGCACTATCAGACGCTACCGTTTCCGCGCCCACTTTGCTGATGTGAGGGCAGCGCGATCGCCGCTCCGGCGATGTTACTTGTTACTTTGTCACCGTCACAGATTTACTTCCACGTGATCGGACCGGTCTCTAAATCTACCGGCTGGCAGTAACATCGCCTCTGGCCGAAGTTAAAGTGTAGACGGTTTATATGTATCATGGATCCCTGGCTCTCCTCTCCCTCTCCCTCTCAAAGTCCGTCTCTGACAACTCGCCAGTTAGGACCCCTTGAAGTAGTCAAAGCTCTGCTGTTCTCGTGGTTAAACGCTCAAGTCCAGTCCTTTAAATTGCTTCCGCTGAAGCCTACACTTACAACCCATGAAGATCAACAAACAATATACTCTGTTCTGCTCATGAGTGGATGACGTTCTGTCAGGAACTACGGAACTACGGACGCTCCGTAGTCCTCTAGACCGCTCGAAAGGGCAGTTCCGCCGAGATGCCGACGAGAAAGTGATACCCGAGGATCTCACTGTGGCTGCTGGAATAACAAGCGCCCTAAACTCTTTGGAGGGGTCGGCACCCCCCTCGCAGAGCAAACAAGCCTCCCGAAAAGCTGTAGAGGCCTCCTTAAGGCCTATTTCGGACGGGAGGTAGTGATGTGGACCATTATTGGCGCTGACAAATCGACGACTGGACCTCAACGGACCTCCATGAGGTCTGGCTAAGGTCTCCGCGCGGTGGAGGCACTCCGTTGACGCCGTCTTGACGCCAGAGATGTCTCTCGTCGCTTAGCCTCGCTTAAAGCCCAGGAATTGCATTTACGGGTCTAGTAAGAGCAGTCTAGCTTACGGACCGTCATCCAGTTCCGCATCAAGAGTCGAGCACGCGCACACAGAATGTCAGACATAAAAGGACCTTCTTGTATTCCTATCTACACTGCTTGCAATAAATTACTCCACTATCTCGACAACGTCAGCGTCAAGCTGTACAACCGTAACTATCATAAAGTTCTCAACACCCTAGTAGGTGGGGAGCCCACGCTTGGCCTGGCCGTTGCGGAACGCCTGGGCGGCACGGTCGTTGGGCTGGGCGTCGCCGAACCCGCAGCCGCCGTCGCGCGTCTGGGCGATGACGGGGCCCGCGCACTTGCCGGACTTGAAGCCACAGCACGAGGAGGCGCAGTCGGCGTCGGACCCGCACGCGCCAGTGATGAACTGGGTGCCGGGGGGCTTGCCACTGCCGGTGCCAGTGGCAGGAGCGGCGGGGGCAGCGGGGGCGGCAGGAGCGGCGGCAGCGGATTGGCCGTTGCGGAATGCCTGGGCGGCGATGTCGTTGGGCTGGGCGTCACCGAACCCGCAACCACCGTCACGCTCCTGGGCGATGACGGGGCCAGCGCACTTGCCGGACTTGAAGCCGCAGCACGAGGAGGCGCAGTCGGCGTCGGAAGAGCAAGGGCCAGTGATGAACTGGGTGCCAGCCGGAACGCGGGGGATGAAGGATGCCGCGGCGACTGGAAGAGATGTTAGGCAAAGCACCAATTTGACGAAATAAAGAACTCACTGTTAACGAGAGCAAGAGCGATGATGACGGAGAACTTCATGATTGAGGGAGTGTGGGGTTCTGCGTGGAGGGAACATCATTAGCATACGGTCGAAACCAGGGAGCACAGAAAAGGCTCACGTTAGGGAGAGATGTCGTGTAAGAACTCGTCAAAAGGAAATGGAGTGGCAAGCAGGAGACCAGGCACAGCCTGTTAGAACAAGAGAAGGTTGGGGAGAAGGTGAATGAGGACTTCTGGCGGAGGGATTGCGGCCTTTTATACAGCGCGGGCGCACATGGACCACAAGGGACCACGCCGGGCGGCACGGTTCCACATGATCCGCCAGCGGACATGACGCGCTCGGCAAGGCCTCCTCCGCGCTTGACTCGGGGCGATGCGATCAGTAACGAGGGCGAGAGAGAAGGGTTTCGGCCTGTTTAGGCTCACGATGTGATCTCCAACTCTGGGGAGCTGTCCGCATGCACCTGAGAACAAAGTCCGGTGCCCGTCGAGCTGGCCTCAAAGCAACATCGCCTGCTTGAGAACAACCCGCCTCCGAACAACAAGGGGAAAAAATAAGCTCAGGGAAGCGAGATACGGTTGCACCCACTTGCGGCTAGCGCTATCATCATTTGCGATGGGCTCTCGGACCGGGTCCGACTGGGCTCCGACGGAAGATGTCGATGATGCCGAGCAGGTGAAGCAGTCCCAAGGCGGGGAGTCTGCCCGACGTCCCAGCCTTGTGGCGATCCGCTGCATAGTTGGCGCGTGTTGGCGCTGCCCCAGAGCAAATAATCAACGCTAAAGCCCGTCTTGTATCACCGTGCAACGCCTGCAAAAAGCTCTACCATGTTTTTGGATCATGATGACTGACGGCCACATCACTACTTCCGGCGACGCCCACATGCGGGAGCGCCTTCGCGCTGTCCGAGAACATGCAAGGCCGCCGGTGCGACAGCGACAAAGGAGGGTTTCGCTTCACGATCGGCCACGACTTGACCACTGCTAAATGGCAGATATGTTTGGCGCTGCATTGTTTTGTCGTGAAAACGACACCCGCGCCTCGAAGATACATCATCTATCCAAGGGGTGCCTCGTGACAGACCCAAGGGGAGGCTTGGCACTATGATCACGGATTAGATTCAAGGGGATTCGAGCTGAGTGTCCGAACAGGCAGAAGCCGATGGGTCTCCTGGACACGGTCGCCGTTGAACCTGTGTATCCGCTATACACGCAGGCCGCAGGATTTCCTTGGCAATTCGCAGCAAGATGCGCTCGCCCAACGCACCCTGCGCGGCGCATCTTTCGGCGCGGACTGTGCGGTCCAATCCAGTGTCCGAGCTTTCCGAGCGCTGAGAGCGTGCGGTGCCCCCGACGACTGCCGCGCGCACCACCTCCCCCATCTCCTTCCATCCACGCGGAGGCGGCGCACCATGAAATGATCCGAATTGTGGCATCGATGTGCACGAGTCTCGAGATCTTGAGACCGTGGTGGTGCGCGCGGCAGGCCCGTAGAGGCACTGATCATCAGAGAACTGCCTGGAAACGTCGGTGAAGGCCGCCGTGAATACTTGAAGATCCCCGGTTGCGGAGGAGTGTGTCTGACATATGAAACCTCAGCCACAAAACTTGACAGGAGCCTATTGCGATACACTCGTTACGAGACGAACAACCTGAGACATTAGAGAGTACTCACGGAGGCCTTGAAAGTCTTGTATGGCAGGTGTTCGAATAGTGGCACTGTACGTAGACGCCATCGCAGCTCACTCCAGAAGAACCGCGCCTCTTGTGCCAGATGGAGTAACACGAGATGACATACAGGTCGGTTTCTCAGATTCGGATATGTGACGATCAACAGGGGTTGCCATCTATCGCTGATGGGTTGCAAGCACTTGCTGGTAGGCAGACCTCCCACTTGAAACTTACTGGAGCTTGTAAACTGTTGCAGTAGAACCTTAGCTCACGAAGGACGCAGGCTTTTAAGATATGCTTGCTGAAATGCTGTGTGCAGTTTCAATGCTCACCGTGAGCATACATATATCGAACTGTGAAAGACAGCGACTTAGGTACAATTAGTTCATGTGTTCAGTCAACACGTGTAACTTGCCTTGCGAGTTTAGGTATATATAGAGCAGAGACGAAGGCTCAACGCACCTCTGGGGGACCACGTGCAGTCGCTGTATGGAACTCCTGATAGCCTTTCGTGCATTGGTCAACAGGTAGCAACCTTCCGAGATCTAGACTTGGGATATCCAGCACATAATAAAGCACAGAGTCATCCCTCAACTGCAGTCGATTACGGTGGAAGGATAGGCTTTTTTACTTGCTGATATGGCCCCTCAGGCAGATATCACTACAACTCGAGTCAGCGATTCGTTCCCAAAAGCGCTCAGGTAGGATAACAACATACCGAATTACCATAGGGCTCGGCCCTGAAGGGCGTTAAACGGGAATACAACAACAACAACATACCGAATGCACCGTCCGGTAAGCGAACTCAAAATCAAAGAGAAGCGCATAAGCACCTTTGAAGAGTTGATAGCGGTCGCGAGCCAAAGCTACGAGTTGTAGACCTGAAGGCCTGACAAGTTACATGGACGAGGTTGGTGCGAAAGTGAAAACCAGCGCTTCTCGTCCGAACGCCGTCCGCGTCGACCTGGACGCCATCTTCCCACCACCGCTGTCGCTGCATCCACTTCAACCGTCCAGCCACTCACTCACCTCTCACCTCTCTCGCCTTTCGCGCCCTTTGAGCCCTTTTTCCGCCTGCCACAGCCATGTCTCGCCGTGCCGCACTCGTAGAAGAGGAGTTCGACGACGACACCGACCTCCCTCTTCCCAGCCAACCCCTCCCCAACACTGGCACGCGCGGGGCGATCCTCGAGCGCCTCGGTTCTGATACAGACGACGACGAAGATGATGATGAGGACGACGATGAGGACGGCGCCCCCATGCTCCGGGGACCCACCGCCGGCCCCGCGTCGCCGTCTTTGCCCCAGTTCCGCGGCGCAGACGGCGCGCACCAGGTCACCGACATCACCCCATACAAGAAGTACGTCTTGCCCCTGCTTGTGTCCATTACGTTAAAAATCCCCGGCTGTCCGCGTTCATGTGCGTGCTGACCCGACCCGCGATCTAGGTGGACGTGCATCTACCCGATCTACATCGACGCGAAGCGGCCGTGCGGGCGGGGCGAGCGGCGGATCGCGCGCGCGAAGAGCGTGTGGTGGCCGCTCAGCAAGGACATCGCGGACGCGACGAACCGGCTCGGGCTCGGGACGCTGCACGAGGTGCACAAGGCGCACCCGCGCGACTGGGAGAACCCGGGGCGGGTGCGCGTGCAGTGGAAGAAGGACGGCAAGCTCGTGAACCCGGCGATCAAGAGCAGTACGTCCACGTCCTTCCGTTGCCCGTCCTTCCCTGTTTCCTTGCCCGGTGCTCCTTGGGGATGCTGTCGTGCTCGGCTGGTGGTGTTGCGTGCCTCCGATGGCTGGCGGGGTGCGATCTCGTGTTGGGCGAGTGCTGCTGGACTTATTCTCGTTTGCGGCCACAGAGAAGCAGTTGCTGGAGATGATCTCGGTCCAGATCCAGATGCTGAAGCCGGACACCATCCCCAAGCCCCCATACGGC